TCGGAGAAAAAACTTTCTTCTCGAAGGATCGAAAAGATGCCACCTGCTTAAAGTTCGACGAACCATAGAATATCCACACCCAAATCGACCTCGTCATAAATCGTTTAATAATTACTTTCTCCTAGAATGTGGTTACCCTGACATTAACCACATTGTATTAGAAACTGTCTAGCCTATTTGACGTCTCAGTTTTCAGGATGTCGTCCATCTTTGTCGACGATAACATCAGTAGAACAAGAATGAAATGTTCCCAGTTCATTTGTCGATAAAAGTGTGTTAACGCGTGAAATGCACGGTAATTGCTTCGCAAATTGTTTGAAGCTGATTTGAAAATTGCAACTGAAGGATTATTGTGGAGATCGAGAGTAGAACTGCTCTCGGAATTTTATGACAACAGGAAAGAACTTAATTAGAGGATTAGATTTTCGTTCTTTATATAGAAATCTGAATATTCTGTGTGTAGAATATTCTTTATATAGAAATCTAAATATCTTTATATAGAATGTTCTTTACATAGAAATCCAAATATTCTTTACATGTATAGAATGTTCTTTATATAGAAATCTGAATATTCTGTATATAAAATGTTCTTTATATAGAAATCTAAATATTCTGTATATAGAATGTTCTTTATATAGAAATGATTTGTTTAACAATTGCATGTTTTGTTTTAATTGCAGCCTTACAATTGCAAGGTCAAGAGAAATGAGACGATTTTAAGAGAATCGTGAAAATGATAAATGGAGTTAAATGATAGAAGGAAAAACCACAGCGACCGCAACGTATTAAGTTTCCGTGCTTGTGTAAATTATACGCAGGGATTAAGAAGTATCCGTATCGTCTCGGTTCATTAACTCTGAGAAAGCTGCCGGATCGTTGCATTTGGAGATGCTGGTCAGAAATGGAGGATTGCAGTGAATTCTGTGTTTTAAGTCTGTGGTATAATTATTGTTGTAGGGTGTGGGATGCAAGTGGGACAGTAAGAGGGAATTTATGAGTAATTATTTTATTTAAGAAATTGCAAATTTGAAGTTTTTGTACTCCTAATAAAGGACTAAAAGAAGTTTATTATGTCTTTTAATTTCTGAATTTCAAAATCTTTAAGTAACTGCAAATTTTGAATCTGTATATTCTAAAATTTCTAATTTTTTCATTTCTAAACTCTCAAATGTTAAATTTCCCTCAAATTCTCAAATTCAAATTTCCAAATTCTCAAGTTGAATTACTAAATTTCAAGATTTCCTGATTCCTCAGTCACTAAGTTTTCAGTTCCTAAAATTTCTAAAATTCCAACTCTTAAATTCTCAAATTAAATTTTCAAATGTCCCAAAATTCCAATATTCCTCAAATTTCCCAAAATCCAAAAATTCCTTAAACTCTTCAAAGGTCCCTAAATTCCCCAATTTTCTAAAAATTCCCTAAATTCCTCAATTCCCCTCAATGTCCCAAAATTCCCAAAATTTCACAAAATTCCAAAATTCTCATAATTCCCCAAGTTTTTCAAAATTCCCCGTATGTCCCAAAATTCAAAAATTCCCTAAATTTCGCACAAAATCCAAAATTCTCTAAATTCCCCAAATTTCCCAAAATCCAAAAGTTCCCCAAATTTCTTAAAATCCAAAAATTCCCTAAATTCCTGCAATTCCCCAAAAATTAAAAAATTCCCTAAATTCTCCAAATGCCCCAAAATTCTCCAAATTTCTCAAACTCCAAAAATTCCCTAAATTCCCCAAATTTCCTAAATGTCCCAATATTAAAAAATTCCCCAAATGTCCCAAAATTTCCTAAAATCCAAAAATTCCCTAGATTCTTCAAATGCCCAAAAATTCCCCAAATTTCTCAAGCTCCAAAAATTCCCTAAATTCCCCAAATTCCCTAAATGTCCCGATATTAAAAAATTCCCCAAATGTCCCAAAATGTCCCAAAATTCAAAATTTCGAAAATCTAAATTCCTAAAAATTCAAAAACTTGCCAAACACCTCAAATTTCTAAAAATCTAAATCTTCAACCACCCAAATCAAATCCAACTAAAAACTATAAAATCTCAACAGTAATAGAAAAGATGACAGTGCACACGATCCACACCGATACCCATCACCATTTCATATCACCCGTTTCGTCCAAATCTAATTTTCATCGCAATTAATTGCCTCCGTCCGTCACATTCGTGCACCACATAACAAATGGGTTGATGAAAAAATTAATTCGCTCCGTTAACGATCTTCTCTACAAGATAGACAAGATACAGAGAAGTTCGTTTAACAAATGGATCGTTAAAACGAAATGAATTTCCGTGGCTACGTGAACAACCTGGTAAAAGACTCGAGAGGAAAGTGGTATGATGGCCGAAAGAAAGTTTTTAATGATAAAGGAACGAATCTTGTTCGTCGCAATAAAATTTAAACGATGTAAGAATTCTATGCAATTATAACGTCAAGTTGTTGGAAATATTTTTTTAGTTCTTTTGTATTTTACAATTAGTTATTTAACTACGGGTGTGGTTGTTAGGTTAGGTTTGATAAAATTGTGGATACGGGGTGTGGTATAAACACAAGATAATGTTTACTAATATCCATTATGGTTTATGTACAATGAAATTGAGACAAGAAAAACAAAATGAATGTAAAAAAAATTTGTTTAAATAGTATTTCAATTTAGTAATAAAATTAAGTAAAATATTTTAAGATTAAACTAAAACTTATTCAAAAAAAAAGACAAAGAGTATCTGCCAAAGAGTTAAGTTTGCATCTAAAAATTTTAAACAATGTTTCAATACATGTGTCAATATTTTACAATATTTATTTTTTTTATTTAAAATTGAATATAGACTGCAGTAAATAAAAAATACATCTACGTTTCACAATATTTTTTTTTTACCTAAAATTGAATGTAGACTGCAGTAAATAAAAAATACATCAACGTTTCACAATATTTATTTTTTTTTTATCTAAAATTGAGTATAAACTGCAATAAATAAAAAATGTGTCAATGCATCGCAATAATTCTTTTTTTTTTGGTAAAAATTAATAAAGATTGCAGTGAGTAAAAAAAAGGAATTCAGCAAGAGTTTAATTTAGTAAATAAGAATGACGTCAAAGAGGAAATACAGAATGCGTTTGTAGAGCTGTGAACACTTGAATTGCGGGCCGCACAAACACGGGAGAAGAAAGTCGCCTTGCACAGAATGCTCATCGGGAACTTCTTCTGGGTAGAAATCTGAATTTTTCCAGCATTGAGTCGCACGGCACAACTAACTTTCGATTGCCGACACGTCCGTTGGATTTATAAGTACGTTACTCGGCAACAGGATTTAGAAGATTAGCTATCGCCGACTTTTACTCTCGAATTCACTAGTTTTAAACTTTTTTTTATATATTCAATTTTTGATATTCAGTTCTATATTTTGAAAGTAGTAGAGCAGAGTTTTTAGTTGGGTAGATTTTGGAATTCTCAAGTGTTTGGGTTTTAGGAAGTCTTCAAATTCTTGAGTTTTTAGATTTGAAAATTTTCTAGTGATATTTACTAGTTTTTGTAGTTAGAAAATTACTAATTTTCATGTTTTCAAATTTTTTAATTTTGAAATGTACATGTAACTATAATTTTCAAATTTCAAATATCAAATTCCTAAATTTTCAAGGTTCTAGGTTTTTAACATTTTAAATTTTCAAATTTTCAAATTTCTAAATTTCCAAATTTCCAAATTCCCAGATTCTTATATCCCTAGATTCTCAATTTTCCAAATTCCCAAGTCCCTAGATTCTCAATCTCCCAAATTCCTAAATCCCCAGATTCTCAATCTCCCGAATTCCCAAATCCCCAGATTCTCAATTTTCTAAATTCCTAAATCACCAAATTCTCAAATTCCCAAATTCCCAAATCCCCAGATTCCCAATCTTCCAATTTCCTAAATCCCTAGATTCTCAATCTCCTAATTTCCTAAATCACCAAATTTTCAATTTCCCAAATTCCCAAATCCCTAGATTCTCAATTTCTCAATTTCCTAAATCTCCAGATTCTCAATTTTCCAAATTTCCAAATTCCCAAATCCCCAGATTCTCAATTTTCCAAATTTCCAAATTCCCAAATCCCCAGATTCTCAATCTCCTAACTTCCTAAATCCCCAGATTCTCAATCTCCCATTTTCCTAAATCCCTAGATTCTCAATCTCCCAATTTCCTAAATCACCAATTTCTCAATTTCCCAAATTTCTAAATCTCCAAATTCTCAATTTCCCAATTTCTTAAATCACCAAATTCTCAATTTCCCAAATTTCCTAAATCCTCAGATTTTCAATCTCCCATTTTCTTAAATCCCCAAATTCTCAATTTCCCAATTTCCTAAATCACCAATTTCTCAATTTCCCAAATTTCTAAATCTCCAAATTCTCAATTTCCCAATTTCTTAAATCACCAAATTCTCAATTTCCCAAATTTCCTAAATCCTCAGATTTTCAATCTCCCATTTTCTTAAATCCCCAAATTCTCAATTTCCCAATTTCCCAAGTCTTCAAACTATAAAATCCTAAAATTCCCTAAAGTCCCCAAATTCCCAACCCCCAAATTTTCAAACCCAAAATCCCAAATCCTAAAATTCTTAAAATCCCCAAAATTCCAAAAAATCCCAAATCCCCAAATTTGCAAACTTACTTCCACCATCCTGATCCAGCACGTGCAACCTACGTCAAACGAAACTAACCCTACCAATAAACTCGTTTGAACGAACAAATTTCCTTTTCTATAAATTTCCTTTTCAGGTACACAACCGACGAGTATCTGTATATTGTTCTTTCCTCACTGAAAGCACTTTTCACTTTTATCGTTAGGCTGATTTTCACTGTCACACGACGTACACGAATGGAGGAATGATCACCGTTGAAAAGACAGGTGCAACGAGGGCAACGTGAAGGAAACGTATACGGATATATACAGAGAGGCGATAGTGAAAAAGAAAGAGAAACTTGTCGGTGAAGAGGTACAGTGAATGAGTGGTTTCGTACTCACCAAGCTCATGATGCTGTCTGTGCCCACGCTCGGTTAGCACGCGGCTTTTACTCAGGAAGATCATCTTCAAGTAGCGATAGTTTTTAGGAAGAGGGAGGGGTCCACGATGTTGATACACGTGTGGTCGCATACCAACCCGAAACGTTTCGCTGTTTTCCATACTGCCTGTCGATAAACGTGGCCCATTTCTAAACAATACTTTTTCTATTCTCCCATCGCATTTTTGCAAACGTTAGAAACTTTCGTGCTTCACAGACTCTGAATATGGTAATTAACGTTTGAAACCTTGGTAATAATTAAGTGGGACTTTTATGTAATCAAGTTTTAATATTTTAAAAATTTAAATAATTTAATTTTGTGTAGGAAACTTGATTTGTTTATTGTTCGAGTTCTTTTGTTGGAATAGAAAACCGATGGAATTTGTCACCGAAGGAAAGTATTCGGGAAAGTATACTAAACGATTATGCAAATATTTGAAATGACGGAAGCGGACGGTTTCTTATGAATTCATTAATTTGTAGAAGAAAAAATGTCAAGAAAGTCTTGCAAGGGTTTACATGTCTTTGACACAGGAAGAAAGTGTTGTCAATGACTTAAAATTGTTTGTAAGAATAAACAATTAAATAAACAAATCAGTTGAATTATAATATAGTTACAATCAGTTAAGCTGAAAATACAGTTAATTATAGCAATGGTTGGGTGACACGAAAGAGGTTAGAAACTTATTAATGTACAGTCTAATTTTATTTTTGCCTGGTGAGTCTGTTGATAATTGTAAAATAGATTACATTGAAAATAAATAATTTTCCATACTAATAAAAATAAATATAAACATGTTACTTATGAATATAAATATAAATACCTTGCTGAACGCACTACTTACCAATTTTATTTCCCGGGAAAGTGAAATTTGAATAACGTCATCTAGCGGATTGCGCGCAGAGCTGCTTCTTGTAGTAGGAGAACATAAAAAAAAGAGGAAGTTATATACAACATTTGTTCTTGAGAGAGTATGATTTATAACTTGAGAATGAGCGTCACCTGCTTTGACTTTTTATGAAATTATGAAACACTTAGCATTGGGGAGAATAGACATATTTTAAGGGTAACAGTAGTAACAGTAGATTGCTTTGATATCGACTGTAGCAGTATTTGACTTGACAAACTGTTCTGTTATTAGTAAAATATTCATTTAACGAGCGAGCCGAAGGTGAGCGAAATTAGCGGTGAATTTTGAACTTTGACCCCATGCGCAGTAGCAAACCATTACAAATAGTGCAGCTTATGGACTAAAAAATTGGCGTCCATCTCGCGGCGAGACGGGTGAACTAAACCTAAAAAATGAGGGTCCAAATACGCATATAAGGAAAATAAAAAAATTAATATTTCGGCACTTTGACAACGTAGTATGGTTCCTGAGGCATTTAGAAACAAATTTCTATTAGGGTTTGATGCGTTTTGATGCCTAATAAAGCCAGAAAATCAATTTTTGTCGAATTCGGTCCAAAACGGTACAGGTGGCGCCATCTAGCGGCGAGCGGCGGAACTACGAAAAACTAAAATTCCGATTTTCTCCGAAATTAGACAATTTTACGTATTTCTGAGGGTCAGACATTGTTCTGTGACCTCCCTGGAACCTATATAATGCCACAAGAACCTCCTCAAAGCGTTAGAAAAGAAAATAAAAAAATAGGTCGAAACATGGACTAAAAAATTGGCGTCCATCTAGCGGTGAAAGTTGGAACTACAAAAATATAAAACTGCGATTTTCTTGAAAATAAGCGAACTTTGAGTACTTCTGAGGCTCAGAAAGTATTATGTGATCGCATTAGAAGCATAATAATGCAATAAAAGTTTCCTGAAAGTTTTAATAAAGAAAATTTAAAAAATGTCATTTTATGGAGAAAATTTGTGGCGCCATCTAGCGGCGGAACGGTGAACTACATTGAAAAACCGTATGCCCGAACACGCACTAAAGGGGTCAAATAAAAATTAATTTTCTGGGCTTAATAAGCCAAAAAATGAGTAACTTATTCAACAAAAATTGCTTTAAAATGTCTAAAGAAGCATACTACGTTGTCAAAGTTGCGAAATATTACTTTTTAGATTTTTCCTTAACGCGTGTTCAGGCATACGTTTTTTCAATGTAGTTCACCGTTCCGCCGCTAGACGGAGCCACAAATTTTCTCCATAAAATGACATTTTTTAAATTTTCTTTATTAAAACTTTCAGGAAACTTTTATTGCATTATTATGCTTCTAATGCGATCACATAATACTTTCTGAGCCTCAGAAGTACTCAAAGTTCGCTTATTGAAGTTCGTTCATTTTCAAGAAAATTGAATTTTTATATTTTCGTAGTTCCAACCTTCACCGCTAGATGGACGCCAATTTTTTAGTCCATGTTTTGACCTATTTTTTTCTTTTCTTTTCTAGCGCTCTGAGGAGGTTCTTGTGGCATTATATAGGTCCGAGAAAGGTCACAGAACAATTCTGACCCTCAGAAATACGTAAAATTGCCTAATTTCGGAGAAGATCGAAATTTTAGTTTTTCGTAGTTCCGCCGCTAGATGGCGCCACATGTACCGTTTTGGACCGAATACGACAAAAATTGATTTTCTGGCTTTATTAGGCATCAAAACGCATCAAACCCTAATAAAAATTTGTTTCTAAATGCCTCAGGAACCATACTACGTCATCAAAGTGCCGAAATATTGCATTTTGCATTCGCAGTATAATTGCTGTAGGCGGCTCATGTACGTATCGCAATGCTGACACAAAATAATTAATTACTCGTTACCCGAACATTATTTATGAACTTTGATGATCGAACCATGTAAATAACGCATTGCTGACCATTCTTCAATTATAAAAGTATACAAAATATATTCGCAAATCGTGTAATTAATTATTCAATATGACCCCGTATATACCGCTTTTCACCGTTGCTAGCCTTAGGTTATTGGTTAATAACTAATTAATTTCATTAATAATCTCAACAAATATGATACGAGAAGTAGCTGAGGGACCACTGAACATTCTTTAATCATAAAAGTTCATAGACTGTGCTCAGAAAGTGAGTAATTAACGATTTCGTATACTCATTATCATGTATATTCGTAAACATAATCTTATTTTTATATCATGACCCGCCATCTAGTGGTCAAAGATGAGAACTAATGAAAGTAGAGTTTCAAAAGTGTGTAGTTCATCCTGTTCGCTGGAGAGATGGCGCCACTTGTTCCATTTTTGAAAAAACCCAATTTATACTGATTTTACTAATTAATATTAATATTTTACTGACTTAAGATCATTCTATATTTATTAATATCGATTTTATGCTGTTTGCAACATGTTCCATAGGTCCGAAAATGTGAATTACGTATCCAGTACAGTTCTCTCACTATACTGTATCTCGTTGATATAGAGAATCACATAAGAATAGCAACAAATTTTCTTTTGAATCAAAACCCATTCACACAAATATCTATTTTACAAAAAAAGAGCTTATGTGCAAAATTTGCTCCATGACAGTTTTCCGAAGTTTTGCCGTCATATCAGCAGTCGCTAACAATGCTAACTATAATCGATACAGTAGAAAATGACTTGATGATACTAAAAGCGCTTTAGAATTTCCGAATTGTGACTCACAATTGAATTGCGTGTTTGTATCTTTGCTATCTCACACTTCATCCGCTGTTACATCTTGTTTTTAGAGTAATTGTCACTTTATATCTATCTTGTGTAATTTTTTGGAACGTACGTTTCATTTTTGCATGTAATGCATATTTAAAATTTCGGTACGTATTTATTGATTCAGGCATTAACTTATGATGTTTATACATGTACTGATAAGATAAGGTGTCTGAGATATGTAGTATAATCAGAAATAAAATGTAGTCTAAGCTAAATTATTTCTGGAATCGTACGGACTACCTTTCGGAATAGTGCAATATAGTTGTGCAGAAGAGAGAGAGAAAGAAAACGTGAAGTACAAAGAGAAAAATAGAAACAGAGAGTGAGATCAGAAGTAAGTGTTAGGAAAGAAAGAGAAAGAGATAGATAATAAAACACCTGTTATATGCTGAGAAAAGCAGGAATAATTACATTAAAGTACAGTATCAAAACTGATAATTAAGTTTGTACATATATTTAGGAAAAATTATAGGATACTTGTACTTAAACAATGAAATATTTTTTTCAGGTAAACATGTATTCCATAGCACACAGCGTGACAGAGTTTCTAAATAATTACTTTCAAGGCAAAGAACCATGGCAGATAGTAACTATAACGAGTACAACTGTCCTTACCTCAGTATGGTTATGGAATTTTGTCTTCCAGGATGAAAGTACGATAGTTCTTTGTAATATAAACTTATGAGATCAAATGCTTAAATTCTTAAATAAATTAAGTTTACTTTGATTTGTATTATAGGTCTTCTAGAACGAGCAAAAAAAAAAATTTTTAGTTTAAGGTATTACATACCAACTATCCGGGAAAGAATTGATCAAGAATTAAATAATATTAATCAAACGTTTGAACAACAAGTGGTGGAAAGAATGGGAACAATTCCATTTGTTGTGAAACTTCCTGACAAGGGCTTAGATCCAAAGAACATATTAGATAAAGTAACAGAATGTGTTCAATTAGGTAAAAAGAATAAGAACATAAAACATTAATACATTATAACAGTTTGATAGATATGAATATACTGTTTAGGCAATTACGATTGGAAAAGTGGTAAAGTATCTGGAGCAATATACAGAATTGATACTGATCTCTTACGACTAATGGGAGATATTTATAGTATTGCATCATATACAAATCCTTTGCACCCTGATGTCTTCCCTGGTATATGTAAAATGGAAGCAGAAGTTGTTAGAATGGCATGCAATTTGTTTCATGGTGATGAAGAATCTTGTGGCACGGTAACCAATACTTTTCTTTAAAAATTGAGAGAATGTAAGAAATAATTTACAACATGATTTATCTTTTCTAGATGACTAGTGGTGGTACAGAATCAATCCTGTTAGCATGCAAAACATACAGAGATTATGCGAGACAAGTGAAAGGTATCAAGCATCCAGAAATGGTAATGCCTGCAACTGCACATTCTGCTTTTGACAAGGCTGCTCAGTACTTAAAAATCAAAACACGTATAGTACCTGTCAATACAAATAGTTATACTGTCTGTATGAAAGCTATGGAAAGAGCTATTACAAGAAATACAATAATGGTAAAAAATAAATGTCTTCATTTCTTAATGAATCAATGTATTCTATACTAATGCTATATCATTTAGTTAGTAGGATCAGCACCAAATTTCCCATATGGTACAATGGACAATATTGAAGCAATTTCCAAACTGGGAGTGAAATACAATATTCCAGTTCATGTTGATGCCTGTCTCGGTGGATTTTTAATTTGTTTCATGTCAGATGCAGGTTTTAATGTACCACCATTCGGTTTTGAACTACCTGGAGTTACCAGTATATCCGCTGATACACACAAAGTATGTAGATATCATCTAAACTATAAATCCAGTTTCTGTATTGATGTAAATTTTGTTTCTTTTAGTATGCATATGCTCCAAAAGGTTCTTCAATTATTCTTTATAGGAATAAGAAATTGAGACATCATCAATATACTATAACAACTGATTGGCCTGGTGGTATTTATGGTTCTCCAACTGTAAGTGGTTCAAGAGCCGGTGGTATTATTGCATCATGTTGGGCTGCATTAATGTACTTTGGTTATGATGGATATTTGGAAGCGACAAAGAAAATTATAGATACAACCAGATATATTGAGCAAAGGTACCTTCACTGTTTCATTTTATTGAGTTATATACTATACATTTACTATACATTGAGTTATTTACTATACATTTATTATACACTGAGTTATTTACTATACATTTACTATACATTGAGTTATTTACTATACATTTACTATACATTGAGTTATTTACTATTCATTTACTATACATTGAGTTATTTACTATACATATTCTTTACTTTCAGATTAAGAAAAATGGACGGAATTTTCATTTTCGGCACACCAGCTACTTCGGTCATTGCAATGGGATCAAATGATTTTCACATTTATAAACTTTCGGAAGCTCTAAATGCGAAAGGATGGAATTTAAATACTCTCCAGTTTCCATCTGGTATACATATTTGTGTGACCTACGTTCATACACAACCTGGTGTAGCCGATCAGTTTTTGAGCGACGTCGAAGCTGAATTGCATGTAGCTTTACAGAATCCAAAATCACCCGTCGAAGGATCGGTAAATATTAATCTGTAAATTATTATAAACTTAATGTAAAAATAATGAAACATTTTTCAGCTTGCAATTTATGGAATGAGTCAAAGCATACCAGACAGGAGTATCGTTGGTGATTTCGTGAAATGCTTCCTGGATGCAATGTATTTTGCACCCAAAAATCATGCAGCAATTAGTAATGGTCCGAAGTAATTAATTGAATTACATATTAATTATTGCTCGGAATAGTCTCGAACAAATATTAATTCTATGAATTTTGTACTGTAATTTAATATTGTTACTTTAATCACAAAGTTTAGTCATTTTCATGATATTCCAAGATATATATTTTCGTTGCTCAAATAATGTGTGTAAAATCAAAATGCATATAACTGTGTGGTTGTTCGTAACATTAGTCTGAATATATTTCCTTTGTATATTTATCCAACGTGAATGAAATGTTTAGTACAATAGAATTTTGTAACTATTTATACAGAAAATTTTGAAGTACAAAACTTTGTTTTAATCAAGATATCTTTTTTAACAGTATTTTTGCACATCTTATAAAAATAGCTGCAGGTGTATTTCCTCATAGTTTTCTAATACAATCTCTGGCAAGATACCTTACAAAAATAGTACAACATAAATTAAAATATTTATTGTATTTTATACGTTATTTTTTATTTCCATTCTAATATTGTGAAGTAAAAATGTAACAAAAATAATTAAATTACTAATAATACTGATGATGTATGTTTCATACTGGAATAAGGTGACCAATTCAAATAAATGATTTGAAGAAAACTTAAGAGTGTTTTTTAATACCCTTTCTATAATTTACTATATTCTATATAAACTAAATTCATATTTAAAGGATATTCAAATAGATTAAATATTTGAAATTAATTTAATAATTCAAGTAATATAAAATGTTCAAATGTTTTCTTTAGACTCAGGATGTTTATGCAGATGAATATTTTTTTTATGAAATTAAGTAAATAAATATGTACTCTAGTACATAAAACGATATCAAACTTATGTGTACTGATGCGATACATGATTGATAAAAATTGGAAAAGTAGTCAGTCAAACTGCCACGTCACGTTCGTAGACGAAGGATATTAATATATGCTTTGGTATGAAGAAAATTTTATCGAGCTCGAGGTACTAGTTATGGGGGCAAATACCAACACGATCTTCTAAATATCTTTCAACCCCTCTGTGACTCTCCTGAACAAAATTACTTGCTTATCTTCTTCATACGAGTATTTATTTTCTATTGCATTACAAATATTATATGAAATATTGTTTATTCAAATTTGAGATATGGAATTTTTTAATTTTCATGTTACAATTTTTGCAGGTTCCACATTTTTAAGTTTTCAAGTTTCCAACTTTCCAAATTTCTAATTTCCAGATTTTCAAATTTCTATATTTCAAAGTTTCTACAATTTTCAATTTTTCAATTTTTCAATTTTTCAATTTTTCAATTTTTCAATTTTTCAATTTTTCAATTTTTCAATTTTTCAATTTTTCAATTTTTCAATTTTTCAATTTTTCAATTTTTCAATTTTTCAATTTTTCAATTTTTCAATTTTTCAATTTTTCAATTTTTCAATTTTTCAATTTTTCAATTTTTCAATTTTTCAATTTTTCAATTTTTCAATTTTTCAATTTTTCAATTTTTCAATTTTTCAATTTTTCAATTTTTCAATTTTTCAATTTTTCAATTTTTCAATTTTTCAATTTTTCAATTTTTCAATTTTTCAATTTTTCAATTTTTCAATTTTTCAATTTTTCAATTTTTCAATTTTTCAATTTTTCAATTTTTCAATTTTTCAATTTTTCAATTTTTCAATTTTTCAATTTTTCAATTTTTCAATTTTTCAATTTTTCAATTTTTCAATTTTTCAATTTTTCAATTTTTCAATTTTTCAATTTTTCAATTTTTCAATTTTTCAATTTTTCAATTTTTCAATTTTTCAATTTTTCAATTTTTCAATTTTTCAATTTTTCAATTTTTCAATTTTTCAATTTTTCAATTTTTCAATTTTTCAATTTTTCAATTTTTCAATTTTTCAATTTTTCAATTTTTCAATTTTTCAATTTTTCAATTTTTCAATTTTTCAATTTTTCAATTTTTCAATTTTTCAATTTTTCAATTTTTCAATTTTTCAATTTTTCAATTTTTCAATTTTTCAATTTTTCAATTTTTCAATTTTTCAATTTTTCAATTTTTCAATTTTTCAATTTTTCAATTTTTCAATTTTTCAATTTTTCAATTTTTCAATTTTTCAATTTTTCAATTTTTCAATTTTTCAATTTTTCAATTTTTCAATTTTTCAATTTTTCAATTTTTCAATTTTTCAATTTTTCAATTTTTCAATTTTTCAATTTTTCAATTTTTCAATTTTTCAATTTTTCAATTTTTCAATTTTTCAATTTTTCAATTTTTCAATTTTTCAATTCTTCAATTCTTCAATTCTTCAATTCTTCAATTCTACATTTCTTTAATCCTTCAATCCTTCAAACCTTCAAACTATTAATTTTTCAAAAAAGATCCATAATTTAAATATTCCAACGTCAAAAAAGTAATCTAAAAATTCCTCCAAAAAACGTCAGAGAAACACATATCATAAAACTTCGAGTACATGTGGCATGGCCATCCGTTCCCACTTTTTGCGAGAAGGGTCAATTATTTTGAGTTTCGCCATGGATAATTTACGCTAGGAACTAAAAACGGGAACAGGGCAGTGACATCGGTAACTGTCGCTGGTTTTGAATTTTTGCCCAGTGTTTAAGGAACTGGCTTTGTTCCAGTATGATCGTTCGCGATAGTGACGATAGTGGTTTCCCGATGTCACCGAAATATTCCGCATCCCTTGGATCCTCGCGAACATTGTCGTGCAAAGACTATTTGTAACTGGTCAAACACCGTTTGCCACTTATGTGCCCTCTGTAATTTACGTGAGTCAGACTTCCGCACAAAACTGTGTCAAACCAGTTCCCGTCCTTCCGGTGCACGCGATTAGACGTTTGTCATTAATCTAGAAATGGTTTGAAAAGGAAAAAAAGATTTCGAGTGCTGTTAGAAGGGTGGCAATTTCACGGTGCGATGTGATGCAAAAATAAAACTTGGTTTTGTGAAAGAAATTCATGCATATGCTACCGGTAGAGAAAGTCGATTAATGTAAGGTAATGAGGTGGTCGATAATGTGGAGTTCATTTTAGAAATTGTAGATTGGAATTTAATAAGGTTTTTAATTTTAGGTTTAGAAATTTTCAAAGTTATACAGAGTTTTTTAGAACTTTGCGATCGAGAGGTGACTCACAGTCACCATTATATTTAAAACAATAATTTTAAACAAGCATTTTTTAATTGATTCTATAACATGACACGTGTGATGCATAAACATAGTGAAACAAACAATAATGGAAATTATTAGTAAAGAAATAATAACCTCAAGAAAATTCTTTTAACTTTTTAAATAATTTTTAAAATTGCTGTTTGTAAACAGTGAAATTAACTTCGAGTGCAAAGGGTTAGTTTGTAATTGATGACGGTTCAATTCTTCATATTTGTAAATTTAGAAATAGAGTAATTGAAGAGTAATTGAATAGAAGAGTTGATGTATTGGAGAATTGAAGAATTGTGGAATTGAAGAATTGAAGAACTGAAGAATTGAAGAATTGAAGAATTGAAGAATTGAGGAATTGAACCTCTGAAGATTCGAATGTTTGAAGGTTCGAAACTTTGGAGACTTGGACTTCTGAAGATTTGAACCTCTGAAGATTTGAACTTCTGAAGATTTAGACCTCTGAAGGGTTGGATTTCCGAAGATTTAATCCTCTGAAGAGTTGGATCTCTGAAGATTTAATCCTCTGAAGATTTAAACCTCTGAAGATTTAGACCTCTGAGGATTTGAAATTCTGAAGATTTGGATCTCTGAAGAGTTAGATCTCTCAAGATTGAATCCTCTGAAGATTTAAACCTCTGAAGATTTGGACCTCCGAGGATTTGAAATTCTGAAGATTTGGATCTCTGAATACTTGGACTTCTGAAGATTTAATCCTCTAAAGATTTGAACCTCTGAAGATTTGGACCTCTGAGGATTTGAAATTCTGAAGACTTGGATCTCTGAAGATTTGAACCTCTGAAGTGTTGGACCTCTCAAAATTTGGATCTTAGAAGATTTGAACCTCTGAAGATTCGAAACTTTGAAGATTTGGGCCTCTGAAGATTTATACCTCTAAAAATTTGAACCTCTGAACCTCTGAACCTCTGAACCTCTGAACCTCTGAACCTCTGAACCTCTGAACCTCTGAACCTCTGAACCTCTGAACCTCTGAACCTCTGAACCTCTGAACCTCTGAACCTCTGAACCTCTGAACCTCTGAACCTCTGAACCTCTGAACCTCTGAACCTCTGAACCTCTGAACCTCTGAACCTCTGAACCTCTGAACCTCTGAACCTCTGAACCTCTGAACCTCTGAACCTCTGAACCTCTGAACCTCTGAACCTCTGAACCTCTGAACCTCTGAACCTCTGAACCTCTGAACCTCTGAACCTCTGAACCTCTGAACCTCTGAACCTCTGAACCTCTGAACCTCTGAACCTCTGAACCTCTGAACCTCTGAACCTCTGAACCTCTGAACCTCTGAACCTCTGAACCTCTGAACCTCTGAACCTCTGAACCTCTGAACCTCTGAACCTCTGAACCTCTGAACCTCTGAACCTCTGAACCTCTGAACCTCTGAACCTCTGAACCTCTGAACCTCTGAACCTCTGAACCTCTGAACCTCTGAACCTCTGAACCTCTGAACCTCTGAACCTCTGAACCTCTGAACCTCTGAACCTCTGAACCTCTGAACCTCTGAACCTCTGAACCTCTGAACCTCTGAACCTCTGAACCTCTGAACCTCTGAACCTCTGAACCTCTGAACCTCTGAACCTCTGAACCTCTGAACCTCTGAACCTCTGAACCTCTGAACCTCTGAACCTCTGAACCTCTGAACCTCTGAACCTCTGAACCTCTGAACCTCTGAACCTCTGAACCTCTGAACCTCTGAACCTCTGAACCTCTGAACCTCTGAACTTCTGAACCTCTGAACCTCTGAATCTCTGAACTTTGAAGCTTTGTAACTATAAAATTTTTTAACTTCACTACTCCAAAATTTTCATATGCTATATTTTTCTCTGCAATATCAAACACGAAAGCACCATTTTGTGCTTTAGTTAATTACCGGCGCATTAGAGATTACAAACATTCACGAACAGCATTCACGAGAGTTGCGACCACGGATGTATGCACAAGTAATCGAAAATATTCGGATTATAACGTATCGACCAGTCAAAGGCACGATAATTTCTGATTGGAAATACCTCCCGCCAATTCGGTGATCATTATAATCGTGCCATCCGGTCAGAAGACGAGAGATTCGTCTGTTGATTCAACATTATCCCCCCAACGAACTTCCCCGTCACGTACGACCTTTCTATTAACTTAATTATTTTGAAGGAAAACGCTGTCGCGAATTGTCGATCGCATGATTCATGCGAATGACTAACGTTCAATACTCGATATTAGACCGAACGCGAGACAAGATTGCTTGCCAGAAATTGTGTACTGTGTCAAACGCTGCATTTGGAAATATGGCACCATTTGATGTCATAAATGTATCGCAAAATGGATCTCGTGGCCAGAGCCGTTGCTAGAATTTGTGGAGCCCGCGGCAAAGTCGATATTCAACATTTCCTCCAGCATACACG